CCATACTGTACTGATCACAACCTCTCCTGAATATCATTGAGACGGACTTTTGGTTTTTGAATTCTAGAAATGCATCCTTTCCTTCCTTTTCCCACCTGCTTTCCATTCTCTCTCTTTTCCCTGTGGATTCATGAATTCCTTGCTCCCAGTGGATCACATTTCCTCTCCCTCCTTGAGATGTAATCATGAATTGTGCTCTCACTTCTTGCTAATAGCAAAGCTTTCTCTATACTCCAGGTCAACACTATGTCTCTCCTTGCAAAGGAGAAGGGCATTTAGCAGGTGTAAATGCTGCTATCTCCCATCTAGGACCACATCTCTTCTACAGTGAATGCTGCCAGAGAGTTAACTAACATGGAGCTCTCAAAAGATAAAGTTATACCATTACATTCCATTTCAATGGTTTGAATCCTACTCTGGATATCCATTCCTGCCTGCAATTACTAACCTGCTACTTGAGAAAGGGGTGAGTGAAGGAAAAGATAATAGAAAACATTTTGGAGAGGATAATTTTCTTGTTGTCAGGAAAAAGTTCCACATGGTTAACATGTTTTTAAAACCTTAATTGGTTTTCATTCACACCGAAGTAGCCTACAGGACCTACACTAACTTGTTTGGTTGGCATGTAAATCACATTAGAACACATCCACACTCTGTGCACCATTCTAAACTTCTGGTGGACTGGTGACAGCCCTTGGTCTCCTTGGGCTCTCAGCACCTCTCACCAAAGAGCCAGGTAGAATGCAGGGAACCTCAAGGGCTCTGGGTCAAAAAGACTTGGGCTGGGAACCCTGTGCAAGTCACATAATCCTCTGAATCTCAGATTCTTCAATCATAAAATAGGAGGAAAAAAATAATCCCTACCTCATTAGGCCATTGAGCACATTAAATAAAATATGTAAGTTTCAGGTAGCATGGTTTATGCTGAGACCTATCAAACTTAAAGCATCATTCACACATGTTAACCAAAGAATGTGTCCCAGGTGGGCATCAAAATTTTTTCAGAACAATTCAGCCTAGGTTGCCATTGTGGTACAGAGGATTGGGTTGCTGCTTGCAAAACCAACAGCTCATATTAGAATGTCAGTTCAGGTCCCTGATGCACTGCTTCTAATCCAGCTCCCCATTGCTCACCTGAGAAAACAGCAAAAGATAGTCTAAGAACTTGGACCCTTGCACCCACGAGGGAGAGAAAGACAGAGTCCCTGGCTCCTGGCTTTGATCTGGAACAGTCCCAGTCAGTGTACCTATCTGGGGAAGGAGTCACCACAAGAAAGATTTTTCCTTCGTTCTCTCTCTTTTTCTGTCACTCCATGTTTTTGATAGATAAATCCATAATTTAAAAAAAAGAATTTAAATAGGGACAAGACTTGAAGAAATCTTTCATCGACTTAACCACTCTTTGTTTTAAAGAAGGAAAAGGGAAGAAAATGCTGTGTCTCTACTTTTCTCTGCTTGGATTGTCCAGCCTTGAGGTCGCACTACTTCTTCATTGCACCAAATGCGCCCCAAGTGCTAGGACCAGTTCCCATTTGTAGTCTTCTCAGAACTGACACAATGCCTAGTGTCTAAATCAGTACTTAATATGCACCAGCTATTGCTTCTCTTGGAAGGTGATCACTTTTGAGAAAGTTACATCTCAGGGATCTTGCTAGGAATGTTCTCCACTTGCTTGAGGCTCTGCCTTGATTTGATGAAGAAAGTTTGTGCCAATGGTACCCAGAGTGGGATAGAAGAGAGATTCAAGTTTTCACAGTAAATAGGAGTAAAGAGTCATAAGAATATGAAAAATACCTGGGGTGATCACAGAGTTTAAAGTATCATTATTTTCCAAATAGCACAGGCCAAGTTACACAAAACGTTCGACAAGATTAAACTTACTAGCATGCAATCACAAATGGCAAGATGCATATAATATAAAGCACACAGCATTGACTGCAAAATAATCTGGTCAAAATGTTTTGTCAAAATTCAATCCAGCCTCCAGAATGAACTTCCAATATGTAATAAATAATGAGAAGGGGTGTGGTGACATTATGGCACAGTGGTTAAGCCGTTGCCTGCCATGTCAGCATCCAATATGGGCATCCAATATGGGCTGTTCCACTTCTAATCCAGCTCCCCACTGATGCACCTAGGAAAGCAGAGAAAGACAGTCCAAGTGCTCAGGTCCCTGCCACCCGTGTGTGAGACTTAGATGAAGTTTCCTGGATGTTGTAGCCATAGGGGAGTGAGTTTATGGCCAGAGCTCTCTGAATTTCCCTCTCTGTAATTCTGCCTTTCAAATGAATAAATAATTTTTTTTTTTAAGTAAGAAAGAAAGAAGACAAACAGAGGAGAAAGGTAAGTCACCCCATAAGAACTAATCAGATAAATCTAAAACATGGAATATTCTAAAAATCGAGTGGCCTTACACCTTCAAGGAGTCACAGAAACAGAAAAAAAGTGTGCTAAATTACAAAAAACTAAAAAGGCTAATTGTCAATGCAGTGTATAAGTGAACTTTAGTTAGTTCCTAGTTTTAAAAGACTTTGGAAGGACATTTAAATTAAATATCTGCTCTTCTCCCTAACTACATCTTTCAGGCCTAATTTTACAAAACACAGAAGGGGGATTTGTAGAAGGACATTCAGAATCTGTGCTGTTGTGGGAGACAGTTGAATCTTCCCTGCAGACGCCAGGAGCAACTGATATGGAGATGAATGAGCAGGAAACCTCCCGGTTCACAGGTTTAGATAAAGAACCTGCTAGAGGATTGGAAGACTGTACCGCTGTTGAGATGTAAATGGCTCAACCCCTCCTCCCTGGATGCCTACAGGACAACTTTCTTCTAAAAGTCTGATGCTATTAATAATAATCTGATAATAGGGTATATTCTAGAATGCTAATGCTATGCTAATGCCAATGCTACTAAATTATGTTCCAAAGGTCCTTATTTTTAGAAGACACATGTTCAAATTTAGCAATGTCTGTAATTACTTTCAAAGGGCTTAGGTTCCCCCAATATACCAAAATATATACCAAAACATACATGGCCACATGCATAGGTTAATAAAACCAGCAATAACTGAGTCTAACAAGTAATTTATTTTGCTGTTGTTTCAACTTTCCCATATGCTGGAAATTTTCATGTTAAACAACACGGAATCCAGGTAACAAGCCCAGTATGAACACTTCTTCCTCTTTTATCCAAAAATAAAAGTGTGATAAAACCACGTCCTCATATAGTGGACTAGCTACTGCAGACTGTTACGAGTGTAGACATCAGGGCCTGGCCCGGTGGCCTAGTGGCTAAAGTCCTGGCCCTGCACATGCATGGATCCCTTACGAGCGCAGGTTCTAATTCCGGCAGCCCTGCTTCCCATGCAGCTCCCTGCTTGTGGCTGGGGAAATCATTGCAGGGCGGCCCAAAGCCTTGGGACCCTCCTGGCTCCTGGCTTCGGATGGGGCAACTCCTGTCGTTACAGCCATTTGGAGAGAGAATCGATGGACCGAAGATTTTCCTCTCTGTCTCTTCACCTCTCTGTATTTCTGACTTCCAAAACAATTAAAAATAAAAAATAATTTTAAAAGATTGCACACATCCCTCCATACCAGCTCCCGGGGGCAGTGGCTGCTCCAAGGACGAAGCACCTACAGCTTCAGATGCATTCCTCACTGTGTTAGGAATTACTATTTCCATACCAAGGACAGTGTCAGATCATGGCTGGCACATTATTAAATGTAACTAGTATTTTCTTACTTGCTATTTTAATTTTTTATAAAGTAAATTCCTTTGTCTAATTCCAGTTGGACCCCAGTTGAGAAACAGAAAAGCAAAGATTCCTTCCAGCATGATGGCTACTAGTCCTTTTCAAGGCTTCAAAGTTTAGTTTTGGGGCCAACTTAGATAGCTTAATTGGCATGCAAGCGCCAGCATCCCATATGGGTGTCAGCTCTAGCCCAGGCTGCTCCACTTCCGTCCAGCTCCATGCTTGTGGCCTGGGAAAGCAGCATGTGATGGACCAAAGCCTTGGGACCCTCCCTGTAGCATGGGAGAACCAGAAGAAGCTCCTGGATCCTGGCTTAGGATCTGCTCAGCTCCAGCTGTTGAGGCCACTTGGGGAGTGACTCAGTGGAAGGAGGAGCTTTCTCTCCTCTCTGAAAATCTGCCTCTCTAATAAAAATAAATAATTTTTTTAATTGCTCCTCTCTTCCGGACACAGGTCAACTTTAAAAAAAAAAAGTTTAGTTTCAAAATAGCAACCACTGGTAGTGACCACCACACAGACTTCCAGAAAGGAATTTTTTTCCCCACCACAACCTGGCCTCGGTGGGTTCTCTGTGCTTATCCCAGACATGGCAGTGCTGATTTACGCAAGTCAATACCACAAGTCCCAGAGGCTCTACTCCTCACAAAACAGTCAAGGTCTCCCATGAGCAATATGAGTAGCTTTGAATACACTTTACAACATGAGAGGTTATTTCTGCATTAAAGTTATCCTAGCAGGTACCATCGAAGTTTGTTGGATGCAAGTGATGTGTAAAAAAAAATTCAGGAACAGAGCAATAGAACCCTTTTTCTAGAGTCCAACTACTTCATTTTCTCTACTTCTGAGGACCCAAGTAAGAAGCAGCAGTACAGGAGAGGAGTAAAGTATTCAAAACTTCACACACCAGCCCTTCCTCTCCCTTCCTGACCCCTTCTAAGAAAGGCACCTGTTACAAAAGAGATCAATGGAAACACTTCCAAAGGTCCAGCAAGCGAATCCCCTCCCGGAGGGAGGAGACCTTAGTACTTTGGGCAAAGACAGGTGTGAAACGTGAGTCTGAAAAGCAGTTCCAACTAGCTGACTCTCAAGTGACTGATTTCTCCCTCAATATGAAAACACACTTCATCAAGGCTGAAACAGAAAGGGAATATGCACACGGAGCACAGCTGAAAACGTGAAAAAGAATACATTCCCTTCCAACTGGAGGAAAGAGGGTCAAACTTACCACAGACACGAGCCAAGTCTTACCTAGATACAAGGATGCGTTTTCTTTCTTGACATTGTCGTCTAAATAAGTTGGTCCCAGGGTATAAATAGGTGTGGAGCCCATTCCAATGAGAATCTGTGCACAAACGAATAACGCCACGTAGATCCAGTGGTTATTTCCTCCCGAGTCCTTGAGACAGGGAGGAGGTTCCAGAATGGGAGTGGAGTTGCCATTCTGACACAGGCCATCGTTGGTGGCCGAGGCGTTCAGCTCTTGGATCTGGTAGGGAGGCGAGATGAAGTGAGGTAAGGCAAAAAGGGCGGCCCCGACGGCGATGAGCAGCCCGCCCACGGCCAGCCACAGGGGCCTCCGACCCCGGCCGCCGAAGTAGCTGACAAACACCACCACCACCAGGTTCCCGATGTCGAAGCAGCTGACCAGCAGCCCAGACTCGGAACTTTTCAGACTGTAGCGCCTTTCTATGGTGGTGATGACACTGCTCAGGTAGCCGGAGACCATTAACGCCTGGATGAAGGTCAGAAAGCACATACAGACCAGGAAGCAGCGGGAATCTGTGAGGACCACGTAGAGACATTTTCTTTCCTGGAGCGTGGCCAGGGTGGAGGACACGGAGACGGGTTTGCCGACATCTGTCCTGTAAGCACAGTCCACAAGACCCACCACTCCTGCTGAAGTAGACGGGGCGGAGGGGCTGGGAGCCAAGGCGTTTGGGACTGGCTTCCACTCTTGGTAGCCCAACGAATCCGTATAAACTGAGGAAGCCTTGGCGTCTATACTCGCAGGACTGCGGCTCGGTCGGCAGGAGGCGCTGTTCAAGACTGGTAAACTCTTGGACCTGAAGGTCTCCGACTCGCATTTCCCGTGGACAGCTCTTAACGGGCCCCGCGACTCCAGCTGCTCTCCGGACAGGGGCTGCTGCCCAGCCCCTTGGTCCATGGCTCTTTTAGAATTCAGATTCGATCACTGATTCCAATCCGCTGCTTTGCGTCCACCGGCACCACAAACTGAAGCAGCCGGGCCCTCAGCGAAGTGCCCACCTGAGACCGTGGCTTGGGGGTGAGGGGTGCAAAGCCTCGCAGCAGGACACCCTCACCATCAGGGAAGCGCCCCGGGCCTCCTGACCGCAAAAGCGGTCCTGAGGCTATGCAGCCGCATGCCTCCGGGGGCAGGGGTCCTCGCGGTCCTGCGATGGGCCCTACTTGAAGTCCACCTCCGAGCAGCAGCACGCAGCAGGCACCTGGCGCGTCCCGGGAGCATCCCCTCCACCACCGCCGCTTGGCCCGCGGGCAGCAGCTAGTGCGCCCGGCGCCCGGCGCCCAGCGTGGGGGCGCTCAGCGCTGCTGTCCGCGACGCCGCATCCCGCCCAACTGCTCCAGGGCTGTCTGGTGCTCGCCACCTGTCTTGGAGACTCCCCCCCTCGGGAGTGAAGCTGCCAACCTGCAAAGTAGAGGAAGGACGGTCAGCTAAAAGGCTGCTGGACTGATGTCCCGGCATCCCCGGGTCAGCATTGGGTGACCCTAACGGTCCCAAGTGGGGCAGAGGCCAGAACCGGGAGCCAAGCCCTGGGGAGCGGGCAGCTGCAGTCTCCAGTCCGGGAACAATGAGCAGCAGGCGGTCGGCAGACACTCTTCCCTCATTGTCTGCCCGCCCCCCCCCCGCTCCGCCCCTTTCGCCTTCCGCAGCGCATTTGCTTTCATATGTGATAATTTATCCACCTGGCAGCTCTGACTCAAAGGCCTTGTCTCTTATTCGCATGAACTAATTGCAGCCTTGTCTTAACTCCTACTTCTTTACTCACAAGAGAAAATGCCCAAAAGAACAAAGCAAAGTTTTTTTTTTTCTTTCCCTTTACTAACACACAATGTATTGCCAGTTCCTAGCTTTAAAAGAAGGGGGGCTACGTGTGTCGAAATATGTGTGCACACTTGTGCGCTGGAACGCGTGCGCGACCAGAAGCGATCCGTCGGCTCCCGCAGAGACACGTACTCAAAGCCAAAGGCAGCCGTAAAAAGGTCAGCGCGCCTGCCTCTTTCTTCCCCCACACTAAAAATAACCGCCCCCCGCCCCCCACTCCAGGACGATTCAGTTACAAACACCAGGGGCATTCAAGGCTGCGGCCCACGCTGAGTCCCCGGAGCACTGTGTCAAACGAAACCGAAAATCAGTTTGCTTCGCAAGGGCTGGGGAAGCCACCAGGCAAACAAAGAGATGCCACCACGCTGTCACCGCGCGCGCGGGGAGCACCCCCTGAGCCCGCCCAGCACGCGCGGGCCGACGGGGAGGTGTGCACTTCAGCCAGTGCACCCCGCGGGGAGCGTGGACCCGGGGTGCGCGCGTGTGCGGGGACACACACACACACACCGGCGTGGACGTGTTCGAACCGCTCGCGCCGTCCCGCACCCTCTTGAAATACAAAAAGACACCAAGAAAAGAGAGAAAAAACCCCACAGGTGTGCCCCCCGGGAAGATCCCCCCCAACACACACACACACCCTCAAATGTTGGGGAACCCCCATTCCACACTTCCCACCTGGGAGTAGAGGGCGAATGTGCACCAGGTGGGCGAAAGCCGGTCTTTGCTGCCTTGGGTTTCGTCCTGCCTCGCGCCTTTGTGATGCCGCTGAGAAAAGAAACAAGAGAAGAAGGCTGAGAGGCCGGGCGGCCAGGAGTGGCGGCTTCCGCGGCTCCCACCACGGTGCTGGGCCGGCCCCCCGGCCCCGGATTCCCGGCCTGCCCGGGCTTCCCCACCGCCCGCTCGCCCAGCCGCCTTCCCGGGGAACCCCACCAGCAGCTGGGCTCCCAGCCTGGGGAATCCCGGTAAACTCCTTCTTCGGCGCGCAGCGGCTGTCCGGGCCCCTGGCTGGAGAGGACCGGAGCCTCCAGTGCACACCAGGGGCCCAGGCTGGGAGCTCTCCGAGCAGGCGTGGAATCCCAGGGACACACACACACGCGCGCGCGCACACACACACACGCACTCCGTGAGAGAACAAGGCTGCCGGGAACAGCTCACCGCGTCGTCCCGGCAAACAAGCCGCCTCTCCTCACGGGCTGGCTGTGCTCAGTCAGCCAGGCTGCGAGTGGAGTGGCGGGAGGTGGGAGGTAGAGTTGCGAGCCGCCTTGGGAGGCAGCCTCGATCCCGCAGCAATCAGTGAATGAGACTGCGACTGGGCTGAACTCTTCTCCCTTGCCGCTGGCCTGTCACCCAAGCCTCTCCTCCCAGACACACGCGCACAGAGACGCGCCCGGAGTGGAGCCGCGGAGGGCGCAGGCGCGGGCAGCCACCAGCCCAGCCCGCAGGCAGCTAGCCACCCCGCCGCCCTTCACCTGCGCCGTGGGGAGGACCAACAGAGGCGCCGAAGCCTCCAGGGAGCTGGTGTCTCGGAATAAAGAAAAGGTTTCCATTCATTTATTCCGTGCCTTCAGCACACACCATGCCTTACCCACGGTAGTTAATTTCTGGGGGACAAGGAATATGACAGGATCCTTGGTGTAAAATTTTTTTTAAAGTGGGGGAAACACCCATGTAAATGGGTTAAAACGACTTAGTCCATTTTACTGTCGCGTGCTACCAGAGAACCAGCTATCCTCCCACCTTCGTTCCCAGGAAGCAGAAAAACTGTGGAAAAGCATAGGCTGGGCAATTCCAGGGAGAGGACAAAGGACTGACTTCCCAAAACGGCAGGGAAGGAAAGGACTCTGGGGTTTTGCCCCCTGGGACAGCCACAGAAGTCCTCTCGGGTGTCCCATATCAAGAGACCTGCTGTGGGTCCCAACTGCTCAGTTTCTGATCCAGCTCTCTGCTGACGGACCTGAGAAACCAGTCTAGAATGGCCCAAGTGCTTGGAGTCACTTGGGAAACCCAGATGGACTCCCACTTCCTGGTTTCTTCACCCTGGGACGAATTGAAGGGAAAATCATCAGTCAATGACTTCCTTCTGTGTCTCCCTTGCTCTGTGACTAGGTCTTTCAAAGAAGTAGATCCTTTTTTAAAATGTTCTCCTTCCCTTTGCAAGTGCTTTAAAAAAAAAAGTCAAGAAGTTGGCACTGTAATGTAGCAGGTTAAGCCCCCACTTGTGGTGCCAGCATCCCATCCTATATGGGCACCAATTTGAGTCCCAGCTGCTCCTCTTCTGATCCAGCTCCCTGCTAATGGCCTGAGGAAGCAACCAAGAATAACTCAGGTGTGTGGAATCCCTGCATCCATGGGAGAGACCTGGGAGAAACTCCAGGTTCCTAACTTCAGAACAGCCCAGCTAGGGGCTTACTAAAATATGAAGTGCCAGAAATGGAGGGGACGGTGGCCTTCTGACTTGCCCGCCAGAAAGCAGGCTCTATGGGGAAGAGGAGTCAGCATGCAATCTACACGGAAAGAGTGATGGGAAGAAGGAGGGGTTGGATGGGAAACACATTGAAAGGTAGATATGGCTAGACTTAGCTGCCAGTGCAACCAGGGGTGATGAAATGGCCATGTAGCATGCATGACCTCCCCCAGCTACTCACCTGCACAAGTGAGTGGATAATGTCCAACTGAAGTACAGGAGGGGAGGCAAACGACAAGCAAAGATGATTCCCATGTTGCATGCGCTGAGTGTGAAGTGCCTTGAGATACCCAAGAGTACAAGTCTCACAAACCACTGGGGGGTTGGACCAGAGATCGATATTCACAGTCATCATCCTCAGCGTGAGAAAGGCTGGGCTGAAAGGGAGAATCAGAAACACAGCCGCATGGGGAGAGGGAAACCTGAGCAGCGACATGGGAGAAAAAACTAAAGAAGATCACTCGGTGGTCATTTCATATTTGAGAGCCAAGTTCCAGCTCCAGCGCTGCTTTCCAACCTGCTTCCTGTTCATGTGACACCCTGGGAGGCAGCAGGTGATGGCTTAAGTACCTAGGTTTCTGCCATTCCCATGGGAGTCCCAGATAGAGTTCCTGGCTCCTGGTTTCATCCTGGCCCACACCCCAGCTGTTGCAAACATGTGGGGACTGAACCAGCAGATAGCAGAGATCCCAGGCCTGGTGCAGTGGCCTAGTGGTTAAAGTCCTCCCCTAGCATGCCCAGGATCCCATATGGATATCGTTTCATATCCTGGCTGCTCCACTTCCACTCCAGCTCCCTGCTTGTGGCCTGGGAAAGCAATGGAAGATGGGCCAAAACCTTGGGACTCTGCACCTGCATGAGATTCTTGGAGAAAGCTCCTGGCTCCTGGCTTCGGATTGGCTCAGCTCAGGCTCTTGCAGCCACTTGGAGAGTGAACCAGTGGATGGAAGATCTTTCTCTCTATATCTCCTTCTCTCTGTAAAGTCTGCCTTTCCAATTTAAATAAATAAATAAATAAATAAAGATTTCTCACCTCCCCATGCTCTTGTTCTTGTTTAAATTTAAGAATACAAATTAAAATAAAAATAAGGCATAAGTGAGAGCCATAAAAGGTTACAGAGCAGTCAAATAGGATAACCAAAAATATCTGAGGCCTCTGGTGACATCTGCACACCAGGACAGTGACTAGTGGAGGGAAGGGAGCTGCTTACAAATACAGGTGACTAGGCTGGCCACAGCTGTCATGACAAAGCCACCATCTGACCTCCTGCCTTGCCCAAGGAGAGCATCGTCCTATTTCACACATATGATAAGCACAGAGTAGCTCAGCAAAGGTACACGGCTCATCTGCAGCCCATATGAGCCCTTGTGCTCAAGTATTCTCTCTTGATTCCCTCCTCTGTCATGGCTGACAGCCTGGCTTGTCAATGCACTTCACACCTTTTCATTACCGCACTCGAGTCTAACCACCACATCAGCAGCCGATCATCAGAGAGCAAATGAAACCAGCTGACACCAAAGCACAGTTCAAATGTGCTTGAAGCTCATCCTGAAAGAGCTGCCAAAAGCAGTCTGTCCTGAATTCTTGGGAACTCCGTCAATCCCACAGGTACCATTCCATAACATGACTCTGCCTACCCTGCCCTGAGATAAATACACTGTGAAATTCTTCTGGATCACCATGTCATCGGAACAACAGCCAGGAGCCCTGAGCGGTCCGCAGAAACAGAAGAATGGTAAACTCCCTTCAGGACTAGGGAGAGGGTCTTTCTCTAGTCCTTACTTAGTTCCAACTTTGGATCCCCACCCTCTCTTGCAATGACCATCTGGGTCGCCCCGGAGTCTCCCCAGAAAACAAAACA